AAACCTTCAGTAACACACGCTCAGGGCTGAAGTCACATCTTTACTCAAACGTCCAAAATACAAATGGCTGCAAGTTGTTCGGGCTCCTCTTCATCACGAGTGACTGTAGGAGGACGCGGCGTGCCCGCCTCTGAGAGGAAACGGAAGCGAGCGGACAACTGATGGCAGTTGTGCAGCACTGCCAGTCAGCACAATGGAGTGAATCAATACACATTACACACCTGCTGATGGCGGCCTCATTTCCACGGAAACATCATTCAGACGCTGGCTCAGGACCCTGGGCGCTCAACGCTAACCCCGTCACGCCTCGTGTATTTCATATCTGTGAGTCTGAGGCCTCGCCATCATCAGTCAGTGTACGGGGGCAAAGAAATCAAACACACCTGACAGGATCAGAAACGTATCGATCTCAAACGGTTCTTTTGGATGATGGTTGGCGTATTTACCTCCTCACGCCAACCCCGCCCCCCAGCGGCTTTCAACCTGCTGGGGGGCAAACTGGTCAAACTGGTTGTGTTAGAGGTTTCTATCCAACATGGAGCTCTTGCTCCCTCTGGTGGAGACAGCTGTGATTAACGCCAGCGAGCCTGCCTGCTTCCAGCTCATCCTTCATCTTGGATGAGTTAACAATAATCCCCGTTTATGTGACACCTCTGTGCACCCTGCTTTAGCTCCTCCCCCTCTGAGCACCTTTGCTCCTGATTGGCTGCTCCTCACAAACTGAGGTCAGGATTCCTACGCAGGCACAGCTCGTCATTAGACAGACGTGACAGGAAATCAACGAAGGAGATCTTGAGAAAGGATTCATGCTCGCACACGTCACCAAAGCAGCGACAGCTCGTCCAATCACGTCGTCTTGGGGCACTTCTGACTCTCCCAGCCGCCGATCAGCTGATCAGACACTGAGGGGGTCGGTGTGAAGTGACCTCCTGCATGTCCCAGCGCTCTGGGCTCAGAGTCAGCACATTACCACCTAAACTGACAACAGACACAGAGGAGCAGGGCCACGCCCCCCACGAGCACGCCTCCCAGGGCAACGCCGACCAGGAGCACACCTTACCTTTCAGGGTTTTCTTCAGGTGGGACAGCAGCCCGCCCAGCCGCTGCAGGTCGAAGTAGTCCACCTTCCCGTTATAGAACAACTGAGGAGGGACGTAGGCGTCTGTGGGGAGAGGAACATCAGTGAGGGAAGACACACACGCACACACAGAGACACACGC